TTTCCCCTATCCCACTGCATCTCATGTTTTTAAATGAAAAATGAATTCTGTGTGATTGGCTTTCCCCCCTTTGTATTAAACTATGCATGCATACATGATGCTGTTTTGTTTAGAGCTGTTTAAGTAACTTAATTATAATTGGTTTATAAACATGATTTTAAACATTATGCACTTTTTTCGCAGATAGTCATGTTATCTTATGCTTTGAATGATGCACCCTCTTGTGGCATCACGAGGGAAGCCAAAAGCTTTTCTTCACCCTAACTGAAATTATGCATTTTAAATTCGAATATAATTCGAATTTTGATCATATTTAAGTACAAAATTCGAATTTAGTTTTTCAGCCATTTTAACAGCCCTATTGCATAATATTGTATACATGGTATTTATTTCCCCTCCTATGGAAGTCCCTTTATACTGGGTTGGAACGACATGAGGGTAAGTAAATGATGGCAATTTTATTTTCGAGTGAACTATTCCTTTAAAGGTTTGAAATACTGCATAAATTGTATTTGACTGAAATGCTTGTATTAAAATATTTTACCCATTTTTCATTCTACCAATGATAAAACTGTGCTAGATGATGGGTTTTGTGAGAGAGGGGCACTTGTAGGGACACTTTTAGAGAAAACAGATTGTGTTTATTACTACTATATAGCGATTGTATGCATACCAGTGACTGGCAACCCCGTGTTTGTGAATCGGTCGGGTGCACTATGTAATTCACAATATGCATGCAAGTTAACAATTACACAAAAGCAATTCACATATGCACGTACGAGATGGGCAAAGAAATATGCAAGAGTTGCAAAACGCACAATGCAATTCATGCAAGCAACACATGCATTGTGCGCGACAATTCAAATATGCAACAACAGATCAACAAAATGCACGGAGCAGACACACAGATACAGATATAAAAACTCACAAATGAGTTCAGAAGTTTAAAACGTGTACGTACGGCTCATAATCAGGGTCATCTTTCTCTTCCTTATCCTTCTCTTCCTCCTTATCCTTCTCGGCCTTCGACACTTCGGAGACGGACTCGTTGCGAGATTCGTTTTCACTTACATTACCAAGCTCTTCCGAAACATGATTCTCCTCTAACAGCTTTCGGGCAATCTTTCCCTTTTCAGAAGCCATTGTCCAAAAACAAGCGCGGGGGGGAAATGCGAAACGACTTCAATGAATGCTGTCCAACGTGCTCAAACACCCCTAACGTTACCTATGAAACATGCTTGTGCAGACCCGCAAACCCTGAAGCCCATTCATTACATCGGTTTCCGACCAGAAGAGTCCAGCAGCAACCTCAGACCGGAAGTTAGGACAGAGCAGACAAAGCCAAATCCACTCCCGCCACTAACTCTCTAACCTCTTTAAAACCATAAACTCCAACCCTTAACTCTCTGAAACTATTCAATAATCAGAGATTAATCATCTCTACGATCGTATAAACCGGCTATAAAATATTAGACCAATCAGAATCGAGTATTTTAGAGCCCCCTCCCCCCATGTAAAATAAATACATAAATAAATGTTTTAATAGCACTTTGGCATGAGTTTTTATTGTTATTGTTATTATTATTATTATTATTATTATTAAAAATGCACATTACCGCAACAGGAAAAATCATGTCATAAATCCTAATTATAATTTTTTTTTTGCAAAACGGTTAAATTATTAAAATTAAATGATTAGACAAAAAGTCAGAAATATGACAAAAAGGCATAATTCTAAAATAAAGGTTTATATTACAACATGAAATGTGAGATTTAAAAAATCTCTATTTTCAGACATCATAAGAATAGCCTACAATAAAAGGACTTCTATGACATTAAAAGTCAAAATTATGAGATTAAAAAGTAATCATTATGACATTAAAGTTTAAAATACAACAAAAAACGAATTAAAGGCACAATATGTCATTTTTGCCGCTAGAGGGCGCGTATTCAAAATAAACAAATAGACAAAGACGTAGTTTGATGACGCTGTGACTGAGTGTGGAATCTATTACACTGTTCTAGTGGTTTTTGGATATTTTAATAAAAAAATCTTTAAAACATATTGTGCCTTTAAGAGATGAGATAAAAGGTCTACATTTTGAGATAAAACGTCACAATTCTGAGATAAAAATACATAATTATTGCACAAAAAGTCAAAATCTGAGAATAAGTAATAATTATGTAATTATAATTACTTCAAATGTGACTTTTGATGTCATAATTATTATTAATTCTTACTTTTTATTTAATAATTTTGACTTTCTCATCATGATGTCATAATTTTGACGTTTGCTTATAATTATGTCAATTTCAATTACTTAGTATCTCCTAAATTGGACTTTTTATCTCATAATTATTTTTTTCCTTTGTGTCAGAAATGGGATTTCATTCAACAGAATGTCAAGATCACAAATATTATGTAAATGGTTAACACATAATCCATACGTAGCCATCTATAGCAGTAAGCCTATTGAACTGTAACATATTGCAACCTCTGCGCATGATATAATTTCTGAAAGTAAAACTCCTCAATAAGGAACAAGGTTATTCAAAGACACCAGCAGAGGTCATACGGATATGCTTTCACTCTTCATTATGAGCTCTGAGTGGAGAGCATTAGAGTGTTATATTAACATTCAGAAGAGAGTCAGCTGTGCAAAATGGGACTTAGTTAAAACTTTGCTCATCATATTAATTATTTTCCAATATTCATATATTAACAGCAGATAATTTGACTGGCCTCAAGGTCATTGGGTTCATCAGGGGTCCCAATAATGGTCAAGGTGCGCAAACATGCACAGATAAACCAAAACCTGCCATTGTCTTCAACGTCATGTTTCCATAGTAGCCTATATTTTTACATAAACAGAACTATGCGGTATGTGGCATGAATTATGTTAGTTTTGAATTAAGTTTCCTCTTTTTAACCTGCCTGCAGTCTTTTGTGAGGATGCAAATACACTCTGTTACAAATAGCTTGCTATGATTGTTGCTTTTACAATAGATTGTTTTTTATAAATCATTATGTTATTTCACTGTTTGTGCTAGTACTTTATGGAAGAAGGTGTACTGTGTACTATCCATCAAAAAAAAAAAAGATTCTATTAGATTATGTTCACATGGATTTTTAAAGAGCTTATAATCAGCAGTGTTGGGGAAAGTTACTTTTAAAAGTAATGTGTTACAATATTGCGTTACTCCGTAAAAAAGTAACTAATTACGTTACTTAGTTACTTTTTTATGGAAAGTAATGCGTTACGTTACTTTTGCGTTACTTTTTAAATCTGTACAGGGCTTGCTTGTTTGTTTTTAAAATAAAAAAGTTAAATTTTTGGCAAATATAAAAGCCTTTTCTCACCAAAAGTGAAATGAATAAGCCTCAGGCTGAGGGGAAAGTAAATTTACATCCCTACAGTAGAATGCAGAAGAAGACATTTCAACACACTTCAGCAGTAAAAAAAGACACAAATGTTTGTCTAGAGTAATTTGTGCTTATTAGTATGATTGAACTGGATCATCGAAGGTCAGAAGCAAAGACATTGGTTAATAGAACGAGATTAAATACATAAAGGATATTTGTGTTGTTTAACATTTAATTATTGCAGGTTTGCGTCATATTCTGAGTTGCATTATTTTTATTCATTTTGAGGAATACTGAATCTGTGTTTTTTGTGTGTGAGTGAGATGAATTAATGCATATTCATATTTATTTTAGAACTACAGTAACATCTTCTGATTTCTCTCAACATGGGGACAGGAGAGCTGTCAATCAATAAAATGGGGAAAAAAGTAACTTGCGTTACTTATTTGAAAAAGTAACTCGCGTTACTTGTAATATATTACCCCCAACACTGATAATCAGTATACTGTAAAAGTGTGCTTGAATAATTCATTTAAGACAAACATGCATTAATAGAGCATTTTCTGGCAGAAAACCAATACAAAGCATTGTTCTGGAGATGTTGTTTAATATTTAATGTTGCGGTCAGTTAAAAATATCTTCAGGTTGTCCGTTGGAGCCTATTAAAAGTGTGTTACTGACAAACAATTTTGTGAATTATGTGTGTTGAAAGAACTTAATAATGAACTGATTCATTGTTGTCCTTATATATAAGATTTAAAATACCATCACTATCTCAACCTCAGGTATTATTATATTAGCCTACAAATTGATCATGGGATTTCTCTGAGAACGTTGCCTACACTGGATTAAAAAACTACAAAATATCTATTTTCCCCCCTAATGATTTAATAGTGGATATAGCTACTGTATTTAGCCTAATGCATCTATTGACAGAATAAGGTTGCGCCGCTGAGGAGCCTCTCCAGGAGAAATCAAAACGCGCAACACTAAGAAACTCAGCATCCTGAGGTAAACATTCAAAATGGAAAGTTTTTAGATTTAAAATACAGTTAGTTAGGCAACATCACACAACGTTTTCACCATCACGACTGTTTAATAGTTCTATAAACAGGTCAAAAAGCAAATACAATACTATTAGGTCACTTACATTTTAGGCGGAAACAGCGCACCTCACAGCAACCAGACGATTCATTGCTGATTGATTCCGTGTTTTGAACGAATCGGTTGAGTCAAAGTTTCATTAGCCCATGCATTAACATCTGAAGAATCTGCTGTTTGAACGAATCGTTTGAATGAACGACTCAATGACTCACTCATTAAACGCTCACTACTGGCGTTTTAATTTCGTTGCAAAGTATAATTTCCGCCATCCTTTCTTGTTTGTATATTCAAAATTATTTTAAATCATCTCATAATATTATTTAATGCAGTTGTATTTTTCAGTGTAAATTATTTAACTTGATATAGATAATCACATTATTATAATTGAATTTATAGATCAAATGTAAGAATTTGAAATGAAAGTATTAATGATATTAGTGGGAAAATGCCCTTGGATAATATATAAAAAACACGCAGATTTATATGTCACAGCTGATAGAAAACGGATGAGAATATTGCTTCAGAATAAATCATGCCTGACCAGATAACAGTGGCGGAGTTTGTGGCGGAGACGAATGAAGATTATAAATCGCCCACCGCCTCAAACTTCACCACTAGAATGACTCACTGCAGGAATACTGTAGCCGCACTGGAGGAGGTGAGACCCCTAACTTTATCTAGCCTGCTATTGTTAAAACCTTGCTGACTGTTTTGCTTACTTACAAGACCACTAGAGTCAGCTATTGCCCCCCTTGGAGTTACTAAATGAGTTACTGAGGAGGCAAATCCTCGCGCCCTCTTTGTTGATGCCTCACCCATTATTAGACAACTGCTGTATTACATTGTCTCATCCTGATGAGATATAATAAACCACAAACCGTTTTATTATTCAGTGCATATTTAGATCAAATACCATGCACAGGCTGAAATAGATGTACATTGATTGGGTTAGAATTTATGTAGAAGAAAAAATTAGTTGATCAACACCTGTTACAATGAACACATCTTGTTTTACTCATTCAGCAACTCACATCTTATCCTTCAAAGCTGGTTTTTGGCTGGTCACTAGTTGGTTGACCAGCTGCAATATCCCAAAACCATCCTGACATGGTCTAACTTTGGACACCATAATGGTTCAGTCTGGTTTACGATGTTCTCACAGCTTGGCTAAGATGCTCTTGCTGGTCTCCTGAATTGGCCAAGCAGGTGTTCATCTAGTTTAGTTTGTTGGCAAGCCTGAAAAGTGTCCAGAACCCCTCTAAAACCAGCTATCAGTAAAGACAACCATATTAGACCAGGTTCCTAAACACATCTTCCAGTTTAAACTGGACTTTCAAACAGGGAATACGAATATGGTGCATCTAAAGTTCATAGTGTCTCTAGATTATATAAAACATCTCATAAGTGACTGAAGCCTCACCCTGACTAGATATAAATACTAGCCTTTCTCAGCTCTGATGGGCTCTGCTGCTTTTGTGTTTTGTTGAATAGAGACAGCTTCCTGTGGGATCTGCATCATCACAGCTCCAGATTATAACTCTGATAGATGCTGCAGGCTGTGTGAATGTATTAAGTATACAGATAACAGTAATGTAATGTGTCGAGATGTTATGCTATCTTAGATAGGGTTGAAACAGTTGCTATGTGACTTTCGCTGATATTAATAGCAAGGTGTGTTGTTTGGCAGGATATTTGACTGGTTATGGCTCGAATCAGCATTTCATAATGCCATTGGGTTAAATGATTCCTGTGCTTTCAAGGTAATTTTACAAATGGGTAACTGCGTTCTGTCCTGTGGCTGTGTGTTCCGATGAGGAACTCAGGAAGTCTGGAGCCAAATGATAGTTTTTGGTCTTCCTCCGCTTGCATGCTGTTTGTACACTCTTTGGCTTTGTGGTAATTGCTTCAGGGACATAAATAGTACTGTCCACATATTTGCAGTTTAATGGAATCGCTGTAAGTTGGGTGTTTTTGCGATTTGTTGAACACTGACCAACATACAGAGTCTGAATCTGTAGGCTATTTGTCAGAGTTTTTCCAGGTGTCATTCCCTTTCTGCATTGTGATTGGTCTGTAGCTGCGTTCACAGGAAATGTTCATGATTCTTCTCCGTATTGTCTCATCACTTTGAAACGGCTTCCCTCATGGGTCTCATTGCTTCAGCCACTTAAACGTAACTGGCAGCTTTTGCCAGATAATAAACAGGACAAGATAGAAGGAATTATAATTTATTTTTAAAGCAATTAAACTGGAAAACAAGGCCTGCAGTTGTAAAAGCTTCAGCCACAGGGGAAATAAAGGCTGTAAGATATTACTATGCAAAAATATCACATTATAGGCTGTTCCAAACATTTACTTAATCATTGGACTTCTAATGTTTCTACACTGACAAACACTTATAAAGTATTTCATCTACACGAACGCCAAGGATTGTGATCTTCCAGCATTTATTGATTGCGTCTTGTTAGTCTCAAGTCGCCTTATGAGTAAAATTAGCTTTTTAGACCACAAATCAGATGATGGACTCTGAAACATATTGGTGTTTTTAGTTTAATAGCCTCTCTCTTTCATGCCATGGGAGAGTGGGGTTGATTTATGGTTGGATGTGTCCTTGTCTTATTGCGAGGTTAGCTGAGGGCAACGGGTTCAGAATCAATAAGCATCAGTGTTTCATATGATACCTGTATTGTCTCTCGGATTTATCTACCGGTAAATGCTGATTTTCTGGTATGACGATGCCTTAAAGGGATAGTTCACCCAAAAATGAAAATTATGTCATTAATTACTCACCCTCATGTCGTTTCAAACCCCGTAAGACCTTCGTTCATCTTCGGAACACAAATTAAGATATTTTTGATGGAATCTGAGAGCTGTCTGACCCTGCATAGGCAGCAATACAACTGAAAAGTCCAGAAACGTAGCAAGGAGATATGTAAATTAATCCATGTGACATCAGTGGTTCAACCGCAATTATACGAAGCTACGAGAATACTTTTTGTGCTCAAAAGAAAAAAAATAACCACTTTATTCAACAATTAGTCTCCTCCGCATCACCCTGGTACCATTTTGGAGAATATCCGCTGGACGTAAACAACGTATGCTGTTCTGTGTCAGCTGCGTCACGCGGATACGCTGTTCGCGGATAAGCTTCGTATAATTGTGGAAGAACCACTGATGTCACATGGATTATTTTACAAATCTCCTTGCTACGTTTCTGGACTTGGGAGCATTTCAGTTGCTTTGCTGTCTATGTAGGGTCAGACAGCTCTTAGATTCCATCAAAAATATCTTAATTTGTGTTCCGAAGATGAACGGAGGTCTTACGGGTTTGAAACGACATGAGGGTGAGTAATTAATGACAGAATTTTCATTTTTGGGTGAACTAACCCTTTAAGGCTTGTGCACACCGGGACGATTATCGCGTCCCGGTCACTATTACTTATCGCTCAAACACAAAACGGTCTTGCCGAGCACGCATTGATACCTAACAACGAAGAGGAAGTAAGAAAAATCTCGATAAGAGGGAGTTGTTATGGAGAGGAATTGCAGATCAAATAGGATTCGATGTGTACCGGGGTATTTCTGTTTTTCATTAAGCGCCATCAAATGTTAGGGAGTGAATTTGCACGTTCACTCGACTCATCGCCAGTGAAAATCGCTTGGTTATGAACACAAAGACGCATCAAAAAACGTCTTGGGAAAACGTCTCAAAAAACGCTGGCCATAAGCGCGCGCAATAATCATCCCGGTGTGCACGAGGCTTTAGGATATGGATATAACTTCCCAGACTTTCTTTTTAAATAAGTTTAACCCACTTTTATTAATTTAGCCTGCTTTTGTAGGCCAAAGAGAGCTGTATAGCCTAGTTCAAACTGAGTAAGCTAAATCTCTAGTTCAGATGTTGGCAGGAGTTTCATCTCCTCGGTTGCACTTTATCTTTAGAAAGTGTTTCAAACACATTTGAGGCCAGTGCTGCCCACCCTTGTGTGGTTTGAGTGCATCTTTGTGCCTTCCACACAGAGTTCACAGTGTGTCTGTGAAGTGTGTGATCCCGCTGAATGACTCCGCTTGGAGATTACAGAGGGATTCCTTAGAAATATTGGCATTGACCTTGTTGTCTGCTGAAAACCTATGGATGTTGAAGCCAGTGGTGTGTTTATCCAGAAGTCGTAATCAACTAAATAAGCACTCTCTAAACTATAGATTTTGTCAGTTTGAAAAACAGTGTTTCTCTTGATATTCCAGTTTGTCCTCAGGAATATCAATATAATATTCTGGTGCCTAGAAATGGCTTTTTTAACATTATGTAATGCACTGTACATGAATATTGACTAGTGGTCGACAGATATATCGCATGGGCCGATATATCGGCAGATATTTGGCATTTTTCAAATATTGGCATCGGCCGATAAGTTTTTCTGTTTGGCCGATGTGTTCAAGGCGGGACTTTTATTTTGATGGCGAGTAGGGCTGGGCGATAAATCGATACCAATAATTATCGCATGATATAGATTTCCTCGATAAACGATAACAAGAGTTCGATAAATGTTTGATATAATGCGGCAAAGGCGGAGCGAAAGAGCGCTAGTCATTTGAAGCGCACCACTCCAAGTGTTTATCCGCTCTGATCAAAGTTCAAACAGCAGCGCAAGCTTCACTAGAACAGATGCGTTCACTCGCTGATGAGTCTCGCTCACACGACACTGAACAGCGCTGTGAGATCCAGTGTGAAGCGCTTGAATTCAACACAACACAAATAACTCTGTTTACACGTAGATGAAACAGCGCTGACAAACAGCAGAAACACTGTGCGCAATGATACAGTCAGAAGACTTTTTAATCTACAATCGCCATAATTTACCATGGATTTACTGTGGTAGCATTAACTGCACCATGGTATTGTGTCAGAAATGTGGGTATTCGTGTCGAATTTTATTATATTATTAATGTAGATGTATTAAATATATTGAAGGAGGAGTAATGGAATATAATTACAGTATTTTTTTTGTGATTAAGTTGTAGCGTTTATGCATTTATAAATGTATTTAGTCTACTGTTTTTACCATGGTATTGAGGTGCTATATTTGTGGTTTTAACTGTGATTATCATGATCTAAATGTATGTTATGGAAGACCAATGGTTAAAACAACACCTTAAACAGTCAGAATATTTAAATTTCACCATATAAAAAATGAGATTGCTACAATTTTTACAGATATTACTGATTTTGATAATGAACATAAATCTACATCTGCATCCTAACTCAAGCTACTATCAAATGTGTATTTCTAAGAGACAAAAAAATGTTAATTAAACGTTAATTAAAATGTAATTAGTATTATCAGGCAACACAAACTTGTTTCTTGATTTTAAACAATATTACATTACTAGAACATGCAGAACTAAGAAATTATTTTTTTCTATTGCGATATTTATTTTGTTAAGAAAAAATGGCTGGAGAAGTGTAAAGAATTAAAAAAACGAAGTGTTCTGACCATAAAGAATAGTTGAAAACCACAGTTAACCGTCTGGTTTTTACAACTTTCACATTTGAGCAAAAATCTGCCTTTAAACTTGAAAGAAATAAAAATGTACATTTATCGTGATAATTATCGATATCGACCGATATGAAAAAAAAAATTGAGATAATTGTTTGGC